GCTAGCTTTGCAAACACTCCATTATCATACCACTCATAGTTCAGACCAATACAAGGAAAAAGAGGCTGAAAAAACGTGGTCCGAAATTCAAAGATTAAAAGCATCAGACTTGATTTTATCAAGTCAGAAACTTGATAAAATCTCAACATCACTGCTTTGTAATCCAGGAAAGCTTCAATCATCTTAAAGCAAAAACCTGGTATTTTTATCTCAACATTAATATGACAAACCTTCAAAGTGTTTTCTGAACATTCTAAAGTCCAAGACTTCTCATTTGTCCCAAACTTCGACTTTTCCAATGTTCGGTCAGCGTCTTTGTAGGCTACCGCCGCAAACAGAGTTCGAGCATGCCACTTCATCTCCCAGTAACATAGCTCTGTGAAAGCCTCTTTGCAGTGCACCTGTGGGAACCTCGTAAATCTGTTTAGATGTGGAGAACAGGGAACGGGTGAAGACTTCGTCTTACGGTTGTTGTCCAGGTTCAGGTTAGGGTAGTTTGAAGTTTCATCCAAAGTAAGATGACGGCAATCTACCAGGAAAAACAGAAAAATAATCACAAGCCTGCTCTTTGACACAAATGAATAATTAGAACAGAATATTTTTTGATTTCTTACATCGTAAAAGCTCTTCTCTACTCTTTGGTAATGGCGGTAAGGTGAAATCAACGTAGGCAAACAGCCAATCACTTCAGTGAAAGACCGTGAGGACCAGCACAAGGTTCGAAGACTTGAAATGCATCAGAAATTGAGTGTGATTAAAATAAATACAGAGAAAATAGTTAATTTTTAAAAAATAATTGCTTGTCTTTCAAGTGCCTTTTTAAAACAAAAATAACTCTTGTTTGTATTTCCTCTGAATACAAGCAAAAAAAAAAGAGATTATGTAATATTAAAATGCCTCTCGAAGCAGGGGAAAAAATATCTCTTTAGAAGGTGTACATTCTTCCAAATGTTTTGACATGCAGTCAAGTCAACTGAACAGTGTAGGAGGGTGTTGTAAACCTGTTTTTATCAAGTTAAAAGGAAAAAATTAGCTCAACAAGCTCCCACAAGTCTGAACGCGGTACCTGCATTAAGTAAACAATGTCATCAGCAGTGGAAAACTGCTCAATTTTAATGTCCCTGTCTTCAGCTCGGCTGTTTCAGCTCCTTGGCCCGTTTCTCCTGGGTGTCCATCATTTGCTCAACTTTACTGCATCTGTCCTGCATGGAGGAGATCAGCTTCGAGAAGATCTTGGCACAACCTGCCTTTGCGGTCTGAGCACTACCCTGTTGGAACCAAGACAAATGTTTTTAAAATATGAGCCGCCTTGCAGAGTAGATGCACACCAGTTTTAAATCCTCTTCAGAGATTCAAACAGAACCCTGGTGCTTTGTTTGTTATGCTGATTTTTTCTCTAAGGTTAAACGACATCTGTTATTAACAAGATAAAAGTTTTTTTGTTTTTTTTTTGTTTTTTTTTAGGGTTCCTTTCCTTTTTTGGTAAATATTATGGCTGTTCTCATTTTCTAAGCTTTTATTTTTTTCATGGGGCTGACATTATGTTTAACGTTTGTTTGAAAAATGATGCAATTTCTCAAGTTCACAAGCCTGAATGACTTGTTGGCTGCCATCAAGTGGTGGTAAGGAGAAGTTATTACCAGTAACGCTCAGATGAAAGATTTGGCAGCATTTCAAACCCACAAGCACTAAATTATCTGCTAGCTGCTGAAAGGTTCTAGCAATTAATCCCAATCTGTACATCTTTGATGGTTACATTTTGTTGGGAGTGAGAAAGTTTCTGAGTTTAAGCCCCACTCCCAAGGACTGCCACTCTGGGTCCCTGAGCAAGACCCTTAACCCCCACACTGTTCCCCAGCTGCTGCACAATGGCAGCCCACTGCTCCCCAAGTGCAGAGAGTTCATTTTGTTGCTCTGTACTTGTGACAGTGTAATGACAATAAAGGTAAATTCTAATTCTATTCTTCTAATTCTTATATTCAAGATCTATTAGTTTTGACAGTTCTTTCACAGCTTACCCCCTTATTTAAGCATTGTTTTGAATTGTATATTCCCACACTGTAACATTCTTCTCAGCTTGTATGAGAGTCACCAACTCTTCTCTTTGCTGGACTTTCTTTTGTACTTGCCTTCGTACCTCTTCCAGGCGTTTCTAGAAGTAAATTAGTTTCCAATAGATTGAATTTCATATTAGAATGTTGCTTTAAAATTTATTTTAGTCACATAATTTGTTTTTACCTTTGTTTTCTCCTCTAGCTCCAGAATAGACATGAACCCATGGCCTTTGTACACTCTGTGCAAATTAACTCCTTATCCTTCTGACAGTAGAGATTCATCAGCTGCACATCAGATACACATCTTTTCCTTTATTGAAAAAGTTGCTGAGACTAGTTCATGTTTCTGTAATACAGGGATATTGTAGTGAGGCTTAGCATGTTCATCACAGTAAGATGCTAGCCATGTCAAGCAGGATTTGGCGGCTTTCTTTTGTCCAGGATCGTAAAAGTCACAGGTGGCGTCAGGTTGGGTGACGAGGGTCAGAGAAGGAGGTAGTGGTTTGGGATATCTCATGTTCAGCTTTTTTACAACCTGAAGAAGGAGAAGTTGGTTAGGACCAGGAAGTACAGTGAAGAAAATAAGTATTTGAACACCCTGCTATTTTAGAGGGTCTCCCACTTAGAAATCATAGAGGGGTCAGAAATTGGTGCATATATCCACTGCTAGAGACAGCATAAAAAAAATACAGAAATCACAATGTATGATTTTTTTAACTATTTCTTTCTTTGATATAGCTGCAAATATGTATTTGAACACCTGATAAAATCAATGTTAATTTGTTAATGTTAACTGTAAATCTGATGCTTATGAAATCCTTAAAGCGAAGGTCTTCAACAGGGGGTCCGCGACCCCTAGGGAGTCCACGGAGGTATGGCATGGGCGTCGTAAAAGTTTTTTTATATTCCCCCATGCAATTTTTTCCACTAATTGAAATGTCTTTAATTACACATTATCATGAATTCAACACACTGTAGTAAACTGATAAATGGAGGCAGAAGTTGTCTTTCAGTCATCAATGCACACATTCAGCAACACACAGGAGCTCTTTCAAGCTGGGAACCATTTCATTCACAACACCTGCCCCGTCAACCAGGAAACAGAATCAGAAATACTTTAATAATCAAGGGGCAAAATCACTTTCGTTACATTACTCCATCTGTAATAGAGTGACTATAGGACCAGTTTGATATAACACAATGTCATACAATATATATAACTAGGGGGTCCCCACTCCAAAACAGCCTTTTCTATATTGACTTTTCCAGATTGACTTCATAATTATTCTCCAGCTGCTGTTGCTTTTTACTGGCCGTTCAGGAAGAAGCCAGCCACACAAGACGGGAAGCTAAGATATGTGATGTGCAAAATTGCAGAAGGAATAAAAGAACCACATGGTGCTCAGTACAGCAGCTTCAATGTCCACCCTCTGCAACAGCTGTATTTGTTTATAAAAAGGTGGTTGTAAAAGACATCTGATGAGATCTCAAAGTGGGGAAAACCGAGAACACTGCTTTCATGTCAAGTCAAGGCAGTAAAACCTATTCTGATAAGGTGTGCGTGTTATTTCCTGGTTCTGCATGCCTAAACAGACCCTGCAATGCATTTTTATACTTTTAGTAGCACCAAGATGCATAATTCTAAATGTGATGTGCTGACAAAATGCTTAGATGCTTAAAATTAGTTTTTCTTCTGCCTAGGGTTTTTTCTAACTTGTTCTCTGATCTCCAGTTTTCTTAGTTCTTCCAGCAATGATCAGGGAAAACTTGCCTCTTAAGTTGAAGTAGAAAAAAAAAACATGTCCAAGAGGTGGTCAGAGAAAATTTTCTACAGTATTCCAAGATTATAGCCTATAGAGAGGATTTTATATTCAGTCACCATGGACTCTGAGATACAATTAGATGACCCTCTTTTTGAAATATACCTTATACAGCTAGACTAATTACACAACCATTGATCGGCATTGATTCATTATATGTTTGTTTTACTTTGGAAACTTTGGAAACACTTCTGTTTCCGAAGATTACAAATATTGTGTATAAATAAAGTAGACTGGATTCTATAGAATAGTTGTTTCTGACAAACTCTCAGCTGTAAGAAACATTTCTGTATTTAGCTCCATTGATCAACCCATTTGTTTAATATGAGCAATAAATAAATCCAAAGCATGATACTACCATGCTTTACCAAAGGGAATATGTTTTGATGAGGAAACATTTGGATTTTTGCTTTGCAGCCGCAATGTTAATTATGTCATCTGGACAATATAAGTTTTGCCTCATTTAAAAAAAGCTAATTTGCTCTGTTGTTTCACAACAATTGTTTATGATATTTAAGAGAAAATTATTGGATTGAAAAATAACAGCTTTTTAAAATACAATTTCCATTTGGTGGTTGAGGATTTTTGAAACTAACCTCTTGATTAGACCAAAATAATTGGAAATCTAAATTTGGTTCCTATAAATTTGTTCCTATAAAACTGTGAATGGAGATTAGAAACCTTAAAGTGTACAGAGAGCAATGTATTTTAAGATAAAGACTTGGGATTTTAACTCGTTCACCTTGGCAAATTTGATCAAAGAAAATATCTTTCATTAAAACCAGATTTCGGATAAACTAGGATATTATTAAGGTGCTTTATAAGTTTGCTATGAAACCAGATACAATAAACAAAATCTATAATTTTAACCGAATGTGCAAAAACATTTAATAAACATAAAAACACAATTTAAAAAGGCTTAGATTTTATGTGAAATAGTGAAAAACCATTTTAGAAAAAAAATACTTTGATTATATTTAAAGCACATCACCATGATTCTAACACTTTTTCTCACAAGATGTTCTCATCGACTCCTGTTATTAAACGAGGACATTAGTGTAGAATAAAAAAAAAAAATTCCTCCAAACACAGACAGTCCTTTGCCCAACAGTTTATTATTTTTTTTGTCAGTAAATTATTAGCACAAAACATTTATTGAGACGAAAAACTTTTTTTTACAATTAAATATACATTAGACAGCTTAGAGCACACCCTGAGAAAACAGATAAGAAGATTAAAACATAGTGCAACTTTTCATATAAATCAAAGGTTTAGAGATAAGTAAAAAAACTCTTAAGTCTTAAAACATGGTAATATTCTTAGAGTATGTAAACTAACTTATCTTCATGCCAGCAGTGGTCAGTATCTATGACACCTGGTCCAAGGAAATAAGAGTAAGGCACAGGGTCAGGGGCAGTTTGCTGCCGTACACAAAGTTAAACCTGGTGAAAAAAAAGAGTAAAAGTCTGATTGCCTTCCAGTTTAAGCCTGTTCTGTGGTTGCCATGTCCCGGATGACTGAGAATTTACACAGGCGTGCTGGTGAAAGCTATTTGATCCAAAAGGTAAGCAGCTGAAATAGCTGAAGTAGAAAATGTTTTTCAAAAAAATGCACATTTTTTTCAGAATGTGTTTATCACAAATGCAGACAAGTCCTACTCATGATTTTCATAATCATTGCTGTATATTTTTGGAGCAATGACCCTTTGTGAAAATTACATAAAGTGCATTTTATAGAAAAAGGTAAATAAATGGAAAAAACAAACAAACAAAAAAAAACAGGAGGGCTCCCCCTATTGTTCTTAGTTTCTAAGTGCAGTTTGAGAATAAAAATCCCTTCAAGCAAAGATACAAACTAGCATTAAAAAACATCATTAGCAGCAAAATACCAGACATTGGCGTAGTGTTCGTCTTTGCTTAGAGATTTTAGAGATACACACAGTTTCATTGCCTAGAGGCATTCATTCCACATATTGTTGTAAAGTACAGACAAAACATTTCTTTAACTTTCTGTATTTCAGTAAATACAAAGTTTCTGGTAATCTTTTCAACTCTAAATCTCATGTTTAAGGCAATAGAAAGCTTGTGCTCAACATGTAAGATACATTTTTTAAAGAAGTAGAACCTTCGAGAAACTCCCAGATTAAAGGTTTGCCAATGCTCAACACTACTGTTGTGGGAAAATCTTGAACTCATTTTGTTTTTCCTTCATGGCCTTATAAGACTTCTCCATTGCCTCCATTGGAGTCTTTGCTCCCTTAGATGCATCTTTTCCTATGATGCCACCTTTGATTCCTCCTAATGTAGCAGCAGCTACTGTTGTAACACCTGCCGTCACACCAGCAGCAACAACTAGGACCTCACTTTCTACCACCGCTGCGGGGACCATTGTCTTAAAGTTTTTAGCACGCCTAATTATTTCAGATGGACTCATTACCTTCAAAACTGATTCTACTAATGCTGCTACTCCAAAAAAGGCCCCCAACAGAGCACCAGTGGCAGTACCTGCTAGCTGTATCAAAGACTCGTTGGACACAAAGGTTTTGGCCTTTTTTCTGATCTCCTGTGGGGGTAAATGGACACACTCCTCTCTTATCCTCTCTTCTTGTTCCTGGATCTTTTCCTCTACACGTCTCAGAACGTCGTTGGTGTAGTAGGATCCATTATTTTCCACCATCATCCTGTCTACTGTTTGAAGGAATGCCTCCAGTTGGAACTGGTTGTTCCTGTATTCATCTTCGCCATCTTCGTTCCAGTGTTTGTTATCAAAGACATGGCAGCGACCTCCACACTTTTTCACCAGATCACTGAGATTTTCATTTTGACTGACAAAACTTTCAATGGTCATCCCCTCTGCTAGCTGGCCCCCGTGAGTGAAGACGATAACAGCGTAATTAAAAGCATCCTCTGAGAAGTAATTGCTTATTTGGTTAATAACCTGCTGCTCATGCTTTGTGAATTTGTCCACTTTAAGCACAATGAGAAAGATGTGTGGTCCAGGCGCACACTCAGTGAGGCAACGCATTATCTCAGGCTTCAGCTCCTCCTCACTCCTATCAGTGTCGAAGAAACCAGGTGTGTCAATCAGAGTGAGGGTCCTCCCGCTGACTGTTCTCGTCTCCGACTGACATGACGCTGTACCTGAGTTGGGGGAATGGTAGGAAGTAAAAGCCTCCTCCCCCAGAATGGTGGTAGCTAGGTTGCTTTTCCCAGATCCAGTTTTCCCCAGCAGAACAATCCTCTTTGTACCGGAATCTGGTGAAAAATTAAATATAGAAATAAATAAAGGACTGTATAATAAAAATGTAAGTGCTGCAAAGAGGTTTCAATTTGATACTGCCATACAGTTTGGTAGATGGGATGGCTGTACTTTTGTACTTTTAATGGTACTCTTTATAGATGTGATGTTTTACCTATACTCTATTAAGAATTAACTGGTTAACCTTTTTTCAAATTATGTACAAAAAAGATTAAAAGCATAGAATAAGTAATATTTTTTAACATAAACAAAACTTTGAAAACACAACATAAACAGCTCAAGACATGAAGAAAAGGCTGCAACATGACATCTTACATAAAAACTATGTTGTGCAATTTTGGAAAAAATCTTTTTGGCAAAACAGAAAGTGGTTAAAAAGACGTAGTATATTTAAAACAAAAAAAATTACATTATGAGATAAATTAAAGTATTTGTAAATATATTTCCTGAACCCAATCTTTATATAAAAACTGTGTTATATTTTAAGAATATTATCAAAAAAGACAGCAGAAGCTTACTGCGTTGATGGAGGGGAAAAAATAGCAGAGGCTAAATCTAAATCAGTTAGACGGAGGGATCTATTTAAGTATAACACCTTCCCAGAAAAAATAATTTTTAAAGATTATATTTACTTTATAAGCTAGGGCAGAAACAAAGGAGGCTGAGTTTGCTCCAAGGGGAGCCAGTTAGTGCTTTCAAAGCCGTAAGGACACACAGCAGCACTTGCTGCTTGCTGAAGACGGCAAAGATATTCAAGCTTTCATTGGTTTCATTTGCTGTTTAAAAAGCCACAGATATATATTTCACTACACCAACCCAACAACCACAGCAATGAGCATGAGCTTATATCAAATATGATAATTGAAGAACAATACAATAACTGTGGCTGAAATATCTCATTTTGTTGACACCCACCTTGATCTTGGTTATTGTTGTACTTCATATTTTCTTGGAAAGACTTGAAAGCCTGTTAACACAGAGATATTCAATAAATAGATGCTTGATACAGAGTTTAAGATGTACCAGTTAAGTCCAGATTTATGATATTGCCAAAAGCATCAGCTCTCTTCCAAGCCATCAGTTTGGACCGTCCCGTATAACAACAGTTTTTTTGTATGCCTGTATATAAAAAAAAATCTATTTTTGTTTAATTAATTCTGGTTTTATTTCAAAGGCCGGAAAATATTTTGACCAGCCCTTTGCAGCTAAAACAACCTCAGCTCTTTCACAAAGCCTGTTTTTGAGGTTTAGAGGTGTGTCCTAGCTTCTCTTCATTGGCTTCCTGTTAAATCAAGATTAGAATTTAAAATCCCCCTTCCCACATATAAAGCCTTAAATGGCCAAGCTCCATCTGATATCAGAGATCTGATTGTTCCTTATGTTCCTAACAGAGCACTTTGATCTCTATCTGCAGGTTTGCTGGTGTTTCCTAGAATTTCTAAAAATAGAATGGGAGGCAGATCTTTTAGTTATCAGGCTCCTCTCCTGTGGAACCACCTACCAGTTTTAGTCTGTGAGGCAGACACCCTGTCTATTTTTAAGGTTAGACTTAAAACTTTCCTTTTTGATAAAGCTTATAGTTAGAGTGGTTCAGGTTATCCTGAGCTATCGCTATAGCTATGCTGCTATACACTTATACTACTGGAGGACATAGAGTCCCTTTTTCATTATTCTGCTTCATTCTATCTCAATTCTCCAACTAATAATTCTGAAAACCAGTTCATTGTGGGATTCTACCAATGTACCAGGTTAGAATTCCCTAAACTCCAGATGTTTATTATTTTTCTATTTGTGTGTTCTCCTAAAGTCAGCTCAATATTATGGTAAATAAAAATGTAGTTGCTGTTTATTGGCTTTAAAGCTACAGTGTGTAATTTTCAGCGACATCTAACGTCCAGACTGCAGACCGCAGCAACATGAACATCTCCCTCCCACCGCTTCTCCCCCCCAACAGTACGGCGAGCGTTACGGGACAAAATGTCTTCCACNACGAATTCTAAGGCAACGCAAATATTAAGGTTAAGAGGCTGAGCTCGTAGATGATGATAAATAGCATAGTTATGTATAATATATTACATTTCTGACTGTATATCCCTGTAATTATTACACACTGTAGCTTTAATAAATCTTAACTGGAGCTTTCTCATGCGACAGATTTTGTTACACATAAATCATTCACTACATATGGCATCTATTTCCTAATGTATTATTACTCATATAAACATATCCACACATCATCTCTCAGTTTTCCTTCCATGTAATACAATAGGGGGAAAAACTGGACATGAAAATCTTAGCTGGATGTTGATATACTTATGATTACAGTACATAATTCCATTTGCTTAATATCAAAATTCTTTCTGAAATTATTCTCTGAAATTCTAAAAAAAAGCTTCATAGATTATATTATTATTATTAGAATAAAGCATTAATGCTTAGCAGTAAAACTGCTTATATAACCCTTTAAGCAAGTACCTTCAAAATGCCAAAAAAACCTGAGTTATTAGTTTATGGCTATCTTAGGGCTTATTAGAGATTGTGGAATTTAACTAAATAGTCAGGTCTAGTGGAATGGGATTAATAAGAAGATAAAAATTGCTAAAATATTACACTTTCTCTAAATTAGCTTAATAATTTTAATGTTATAAGTTAAAAATAACATTTTAAACTTACCAATAAAGAAAAAAAAATCTCATCTTTTATCAGTCTGCCTTTAGTGAATGTTAATTTAACATTTGAACATTTGAACTTTTTTAACAAGTATAAGAAAACTTCCCATAAGTTACTGAAGATAGCATTTAATTTCCCTTTGAGGTTAATAAAGTTTTTTGTTTTTTTTTATTGAATTAAATTGAAATACCTCACAGGCCTCTTCATCTTTGGGGTGTACAACAATGCGAATCTGGAGTGGCGTGCTGGTGGTTTTCTCTTGCTGAAATTTACAGATCTCCTCCTGAAAAACGCTAGCTACCAGAGTGGCTGGAAAACGAAGCGCAATGCCAGTCCCAAGAACTGGTAGGGCCACAGATTCAAACCCTCTGCTCTCGCAGCAAGTCAGGATGCTGTTGATACCCAGTCGGAGAACCTTAAAAAATCCACATCAGAAGAAAGATTGTTATTTTAAACCAATTCAGAGAACCTATACGAGATAAGGATCATTTATCTCACCTGAACTGCAACTCCCTCTTCTTCTTCATCCCAGTGAATGAGGCTGAGGAAGAACACGGCACCAAAAGGAACTCCAGTCAATTGGTCCTCTAGTGCGAAGTCGCCTGGCATCATTTCCTCTCCGATTTTCTTTTGAAGCTTTTTAGCCCGCTGACTACCAATTTCTTTAAAGAGAATGCTTCCAACTCTGGTCGATTGTGGATCATGGAGGACCATTGGAGATACAACAGCATCAGTCTACAATGAGTTAAAGCCAAAGATTATCAACTGATATGTAAACTTGTGAATTTCCTGTCAAACGTAATCAAAATACAATGACATAAAAAGGATGGGTTTTCTCACCTGCTGACTTTCAATGGTCCCTTGAACAATCTCTACATTCACGCGGCCCTTCTGAGCTCCAGGGGTGGCCCCTCTGGATACATATTTGGCTGCAGAACCAAACGGAACCTCCTCTTCAGGTCGATCTGGGTGTTCTGTAGGGTATGCAGAATTTTCCCCCAAAAGAAGCCTGTCACATGCTTCCTGCAAGGCCCTCACCACCTCTTCTCTGTCATCTATCAGAGCGATTGTTTTAAGATTTTGCCCACCCTGATTAGCAAACTCCTTGACAGCAGAGACAATGGCCTCGGAGCAAACTGTGACAGGAACGCCAAACACTCCTGAGCTGATACAGGGCATGGCCATGGACCTGTATTTTTTTAGTTCTGCCACTTCCAGAACACGCTGAACAGTTCTTTCCAGTAACACCCTCTCCTTTCCATCGACTTTTCCAGCCACGGGACCAACAGCGTGCAGCAGTCTTTTGCAGCGTAGTTTTCCCCCTAAGGTCACTACCACGTCGCCTGTAGGGACTTTTCCTTCACGTTCCTTGTAAGCGTCACTCTCACTCTGAACTTCAGGACCCCCAGCGTCACTCAGGGAAGCAGCGATACCTTCACAATGACTTAGATCCTCATTGGCAGAGTTCACCAGGGCGTCGGCCTGGAACGTGGTGATGTCCCCCTGATACAGTACCAGCTGAAGATCATCAGTAAGGCTGTAGGTGGCTACTTCTGTGTTCTTATCAGCCAAGCTGAATGCTCCTAAACTCTCCCTCAAATATGGCTCATCCGCTGCATCCAGCAACTCTGTGTTTATCAGAGAACGTCCCACCCCACTGTCATAGTCTCTATACACCTCTGCTTCACTCTTATGTAGTGTTTCATCATCAGCACACTGTTGGTCCTCATCTCCTTTCTGGGCACTAACATCATCCAAAGCCTCAGCGTCAGTCTGCTCCTCCTCTTGGTGATGCTCAGCCAGGAGATCACTAGAGGAGAGCAATTCCTCCGCAATGGAAGAGTCGTCCGGTTGTTCTTCAAGCTCTGTACCACTTGTAGAGTCAGGAATGGGCTGTTGACTCTGCTGAAAATAATACAATAAAAGGCTTCACCAAATATTCATATACACCGGATAATGGCTGGCCCCTGATTATTATAGATTGGGCCTTCAAGATGACTGATTATCAGGTTATATGCTTTTCTTTAATCATTGACTTCTTTCTTGTTCAGTTTCCACCCTACTTTATTATCCTACTAGCACACAGCAGCAGGCAGTAAAATCTTAGCATCACACTTGGGAGTCCTCCACCCAGGCTTTTACACCAATCAGGTGGTAAATTTATCATTTTACTGCTTCTCTAAAACTGCTCTTCGGTCGTTTTTATGAAGTTGTCATCGGGTCTTAGGAGGATGTTTACTTTAAATCAATATTTAATCCTTTCTATTCCGTTATATGTAATTTTACAATAACTATTATAACTGTTTTGTTGTTTTTTATCCCAAAACTTTGCTTTTCTTCTGTAAAAGAATTGTGTATTGATTGTACAACAGGAAGGAAATAGCTTTCCTTTAGTTTATCCATCTTTTGTAGGCCTTAACTCTATGGTTATTACTTAGCTAATAATAAATATTAGCTATTTCATGTTTATAAACTAAAAAAAGGGTAAAAAATAGAGAATATAGAAACCCTTGAGTGATGGCTCACATGATTTCATAGATTGCTCTGCTTTTTTTTTTTTATTTGGAAAACTTTGGAGGGTTGGGTTTTGGAAATGTGCTGACCTCTGCTGGCGATGCAGGGATGGTGTCTTGTGAAGAAGCGGGAGGCTCTATGTGCTCACAGTCTCTGACACTGAGCACCAGGTAACCATCAGGGAGCTCTATCGTATGCTCAGCTCTCCTCAATACTTCCTGTTGATCTGCATAAGAAAGCAGCACAGAGATTAATAAGAGCATCAAAGCTGACAGACACAGTTCACATCAATATCACAGGTAGATGGGCTTTGATGCTTCAGCAGAGTTTTAGGAAATTTTCTTCTGATAAAAGATTTTAGTATGAAAAATTTGAATATTGAATATAGAAATAACAGCACAGATCTCGCTAACTATTCTGGACATTAAGAACAATGATCCTTCATTAAAATAGTGCAGTATTTCTGCGAGATAAAGTTCAACACTTTCCATTCTAACAAACAAAATAAGAAATAACCTTTTATTTAGAATGTACAAACTAGTGAAAGGAAAATTATATCTTTCACATTTTATAAATAAAAACATGAAAAATGTGTTTTTGTGTTTCAATTTATTCCTTTTCATGTTCAAAAATTGTAATTACAGCAGCATGTCTTTTATAGTGGGTCTCTACCAAGTTTGCACAGTGAGAGATTTGTTTTTTACAGTCTTCTTTGTCAAAGAGTTTAATCTGAGATATCAGACTATATATCAGTTCTCTTGCAATAACCAGCCCATTCCTCTGGACATTATGGAGCTACGAATAGATGATACAGTATACCAATGCCATAGATGAATGAGATGGTTTTAATGTTATTTTAATGATATTTTTAGTTATGCTGAGAGGTCATGAACATTAAGTGATCTTCTTCAGTAGTTACTAATGTCTTACTGCTGTTTAAATACATATTTGAGGCTTAAAACTACTAAGACACGTGTCAAGGCCACAGGTAGACATCCAAGAACTTGCATTAATTTGCACACGGCAGAGTGGTTCCTTGTTTTCCATGATGATAACATTTGTCATCATGGGAGGGGTTGGAAAGTGAAACTTGTTTATTATACCTGGTCACAGGACATTTTAAAGGTAACCTGTTGGGACTAACCCAGCTGGTTATAATTTAATCTGAATGACAGGTTTGTTTTTAAACTACTGAAGGATTTCCACTAATGTCCTGATTTTAGACTATTTTTAATTTATTTTCTTTTTTTTCATACTTGTTCAGTATCATTCCATAACACAATATTCAGGTATCTATTCATATTCATATCCATCAGGGTGAACCCATAACATCTTTAAAATAAACAATTTAAAATCATATTCTACACCCTGCTCATGGTCTATGCTCTCAGGCAATACAGCTTTAACACGTGTTTATATTATCTACAAGTAGAAGGTATCAGAGCTGTTTTGGTTCTTTCCTAATTTTTCACAATAGCAAAATGAGCCCAACAGTGACCGAAAAAAAATATTATATTAAATAATAATTATGATAATAATAATAATAATAATGTGTAACGCCATAAAATATAATAACATATATTTGAGATTTAAAAATGTTTTTGTAACCCTGATTGATCAAATAAAATAATAATCTATATATATATCTCTAATATAAAAACAACCAATATTTTATTAATATTATTAGCAGTAGATGGGATGAAATGGAAAAGATTTAGGCTGGTAATCAACTCAAAAAATAAATAAATAAAAATGAAATAAAGCTTAAACTAATGCTGAAAAATAGATTGCTATGTGAATATCAAAGTAAAAAAAAATAAAATCTCTAAACAATGTTTCCAACACTTCAAATCTACAGCGATGCTCATTTTATAAGAGCTAAAGATCATAAATGCAGACAGTTGAATATCAGAAACTTTTGTGAAGATAACCACAGATGTGTCTGTTGACAGCCAACCAATGCAAATATGCCCGCAGTGTTTAGTTTCCTACGGTCTTCTATCAGGAAGGACTAGTTTGCTATCTGATTTAGTTTAGAAGCTGCTGTAACCAGACTCCAGGATCAACTAATCTTTATTTATGGAAAATAGGAGCAGTTATTAGCTCTAACTTGCTGCTTATTATCTTTCCCCCCTTGAGCTCCTCCTAAAACAAATCCTGCCCTGAGGCTGACTGGAAAGTGAAACCAAGATAACCTGAGTTACAACAGTGATTCCCCAGCAGCTTTATTACCTAGAGTAAAACACGTTGACAACATTTATGATCTGACTTCTATTTCCATAGTTTGCACAGGAATTACCCTGAACATGCTGTGTGGTGATTTTAACTGCATAGTCTTTCAAAACAGGGCAATGCACCTTTATTTTCAGTATATAAAAAGCCTGTTTTATTGACACGCTTCTATAAACTAAACCTAGATGACTCTGGATACATTTCTATCTTAAAGATTTACAGCAATCAGTTAAAGTGCACCCAACAGTTTCTAAAATGTTCTTACCCTACTTTATATGACAATACAAACAGTGCAGTAACCATCTGCACACTACAGCACCACATAAATATGATAGAGAAATATTCAATCATGTCACAAAGCAGACCTGTATAGTCATCAAATCATGTTATGTGTGTCTAGTCTCATGCCTTTCATAACATATTTCTTGGATTGGAAAATAACACTTTTAAAAACAAAGTGAGGAATTTCCCAAAGCCTGTAGTCTAAATAGCTATATTTGCAGTCAGTGTCCTTTGCTGGGATAGAAAAAAAAAGGTCCAATACAATACTTTGCATTAAGTTTTTCCATTTTTTTAAACAACTTTACAATTTAAATAAACAACTCTATAACACATTTTAACTCTTAATGGAAGTATAAAATAAGCAATAACTAGACTCATGCATGTTGTTATGCAATCAAAATTACAGCACAGATAGAAAAACCCAACCTGATAATACTGTAACTCTGACTTTAGGGAACTCTGCTTCAATTTATTTTGTGAATTCTTTATCATAAAATTAGGTAATAAATGAGTAATAGCTATACTAACATGTTGTAGTGCCATCAAACTCAAAGCAAACATAAAGCAACTCATCTTGATCTAACTAAAACTCTTACTTTAGAAAAAAAGTGGCATCATATAACTGAGCACTACTACATGTCAGAGTGTAGTTATTTCTTGTTTTAGAAAGTATACTTATATTAATAGTTACAGCACTGCTTACTTCAATTATAAAATGTCTGCCTGTATAAAAACCCTTTAATCAAAGCTATTTGACTTAAAGAGGAAACTGTTATCTGTGTTTTGGACCTTTTTGTTCTATTCTATATTTTACTGATAATTGGCTATTTAGGTTATACACTGAAAAAAATAATGCAACTATTTTTTTTCTTTTTGTAATTTACTTAATCACATTTTCCTACTTTAAGAAAATCATTTTATATCCTACTCTGCTGACATGAAAAAAAAAATGTGTCAAAGTAAATGAATATAATAAAACAAATTCCAAAAAAGGGTGCATTATTTTTTTCAGTGCAGCCAGGATTTAGGAAATTCCTGCTTTTTTTGTTTTTGTTTGTTTTTTTGTGATGTTTTAATTTGCAGACGGTCCCTGCTGCATAGAAGCTGATGCCAGTCTCCCATCGTAGTTTGGATTAAAATAAGATCGTAGCTCCGCTGTCTGTTTGCTGTGGTTGCAGACAGGAGTCGGTTTGGAAAAAGAAACCTTCTGCTGGTGATTTAATGATCCAGAAAAGAAAAATCAGTGATTATCTTTCTAACTTTACCTAAATCCACGCAGCTTCCGCTCCTCTCATGCAAACTGCCTCAGCTTTAGATAAATGACCTGAAACAGACTTTACTGAGCTTTGCCACAGTAAAATCAGAACTGAAATATGTGTTTTATGCTGTTTTAGTAGCGAGTCTCCCTTTGTTTACAGTCATCAGCTGTTTTTTTGTTTCGTTTTTTGGTGACGTCTGGCTGCTTGAGTTAAGTTTCACTTTCCAGATAATTTCCTGCTTCAATCGCCAAGTTTCCAAAGCGCACCTCAGACATCAACATCAATAATAATAATATAAAACAACAGCATAAAAACATTAAAAATAAAATCTAATATATTTATTTGTAAAGTGGTGCATGTTTTTAATGACATTTTGAAAAGTGTCCTCCAGCCTGCTGCGATCAACGCTTTTAAGTAAAACACAAACAAAAACAGCAGAATTAAACTTTACATCATGTTTTTTCTCGCATCTATTTGTACCTTTTTGATTTCTGAACGCGATCCTGTAGACATGATCAGCCACTTTTTCCAGCCGCCCGCATTCTCCTCCGCCGGACCTTCTGCGAACACGGAAATATGTCTCTATTTTTTTCATCCTCTGCCCCCCTAGAAGGCTGTCACACCCGAAGAAAACGGGGTGCTGATAGTTTTCCCCCATAGCGTCCGCTTCGGGTCAGATCGGCGTGTGAACTACAATCGGAGAGGTTACACTACGAGTCAGCCTTTAGTATTGTCCAGAGATGCGCCCCCTAGTGTCGAAGAGAGGGTACCGACAGGGAGGAGTCTCAGCTGTCACATGTCAATCCTTTCTGTATTCTAATCATTCCAAACATTACAGTCTTTGTCCAAGACAGCAGATCAGGAATTCCTATGAGTCATTTTCATATTTGCACTTATATAATGCCAGCTTAAAGAACTGGATCTAATCTACAATTGAATAAAAGTAGGAGAAAAAAAAATCTCTAAAAGAGCTAAGGGTGACACCATGATGAAACTACAGTTACAAATAAAAGAAAATAGGAGCATTATTAGTTCTAGATATTTCAATATTAAATCCAAATGC